AAAAAAGTAACAAAATGTGAATTCACATACAGTATACAATCTCATTCCAAGAGAAGATTCCCCACTCCATCACCATGGCTGCTAACTGACCAAGGTGATCAGGAGATCTGGGAACGACACTGTATACCTTTATAGTGAAATCGTCATTGCCTAAAAAAATAATTTGTTATGGTATTTAAGCATAGTATAGGTAAGTAATTGGCAGTTTAGTGTCAGCTTTTTCATCAGTGTTCCAAGTTTTAGACCATGTCTTATCAACGGGTCTTTCCAAATCATTCAAAGATACATTGTCAATTCCATTTTCTCTGTGGCACTCTCAACAATCAACTTATTCATATATTTTTTCCATCTAGAACGGTGGTATTTACACTACACTACAGCTATCAAATAATTTAATTGTTCAAACATTAAAAAATTGTCCACTTGCTAACTGAAGTGGTAGATCACAAAATGCACTGAGGTTTTTTTTTTTCTGGGTGGGGCAGGGGGGGAAGTTGTTTCCAGGTTCACAAACATCAATGTACGATTAACAATCTCTGCTTTGTAATATTTTCCTAATATGAAAATGAAAAAAAGTTTGAAATGAGAACAAAATTCTCTTTGTTTGACTCGCTTTCTCTTTAGACACTGTGAATTTTGGTTGAGGAAATAAGTGCGTGCCCAATTTTTCCCCAACTGAAAATAATGTCAACTTTAACTGGATACAAGTTTACTTTTTCTCTGTAATTTTACAGGTCTTTAATGGCTTTAGCCTGTAAATGAATAACAGAACGTAGGATGTTTCCTACAACTAAAACAAAAGTTAGACCGCATGTCACACAGTCAACTAAATTAAAGTGCATGATTTCTAAACAGAGACCAAGACTGTAATTAGAAAAACATGTAGCTGCATTCTTGGTAAAAAAATCCTAAAAAATGATTGTAATTTACTGCCTGCGTATGCATATAAAATCTACCATCTAATTTGCCAGGATGTTTGTATGTCAATAAAGATGTACAGGGATGGGTGGGTAGGGGACGAACAGATCAGATGGTGTTATTGAAGCTCAAGAAGTGCAGGATTGTGTTCCATAATCATCATTAACAGTCCATCTAAGTAGCCTCTTAGTCTCCTGTTCTCCTCTTCTTGGTCTCTAAGAGTACTGATAATCTTTTCTTTGTCAGCTGTGACAAGTTCATCGGCCAGTGACCCTTGCTGTTGGATTTAAAAATATGAGTGTTGTTGAGTACAAATAAACCCTTAAACTGTTTTTGGAATATTGCAGTTGGAATTCTGGACACCGGATATAAAATTTCTTGTTATGAAAAAATTCCTCAACAATTATTAGACCAACATTAAATGGAACCATGCCTCTATGAGAAAGCAAGGTCTGGATTGAACTTGTAATAGAGATTAGAATCTATTTTGCATGATAACAGCATAATTTAAATCTGAAAATTTCCAATGTTTGCATCATAACAAAGTCAACTTGAGCCTTGCCTCTGCTCAAATCCTGATCACCAATTAAGCACATAACTGTAAATTACGTTATTCTGCTTCTACACTTAATTAGAAAACAGCCCTAAGAAAATATATGTGCTGATTGGTTAAAAATCATGTTTCTATAACTCGATAGAAACACAGAACTACCACGAGCTGTTGACGCAATGATGGCGTGAGCAAAGAGAATTTACACTTTGATAATCAAAGTTAACAAGTTTTTTCCTTTATTTCTTCGTGGTGTTTTCTAAAACAAATAGAAAACATGTTCTTTGTGTTTCTATCAAGTTGTAGAAACACTTGTGAAAGTTTGGGAGAACTTGAAAAAGCTGTGGAAACACTCGCCTGCCGCTCGTGGTTCGGCTCATGTTTCCACAGCATTTCTCGTTTACCCAAACTTCCACTTGTGTTTCTATAACTTGTTAGAAACACAGCACATGTTTTTTATTTCGTAAAGAAAAAATAGAACAACCAGTACTTCATCTATCCTTACCTGACCAGCACCAAAGTAACCATCCTGATGCAGCTGAACATTCAGCTCTTCTTTTGAATTTTTCAAGCTCAAGTTTTCCTAAAACAAAAACAGACTCATTAACGCATAGCATCAACATTCATGCGTATGAGATGTGCCTTCGGGGAATCATGGTAGTTGTATTTATCAAAGCAAATATTCAGTCCAAGATGATGAATACAACCACCATGATTCCCTGAGTAATAAATTGTTATCCACCTACATGCAGTTTATTGGCTCACAATTTGATTTAGCACAACATGTTCTCTAACATCTCTTGCACATTCTTCTGTCAAACTCTTGTAGACTTTTAGGCTGCACAAACCTTTGAGGCCCAAACATTTGGGTGAACCTTACAAGGTTGTCCCCTCTTTTCTGGAAATTCCAGAAAATCCTGTTTCATTTGCCACTACAAATTGGGGAAATTCAAACCACAATTTTTGGTCGAACTGAAAGGGCTGCCCCCTTCAAACAAGAGAAGGTGGAATCTCAAAAAACTATTACACCTCAATTTGGGATTAATCAGCTTTAAAAATACCCTGGGCCTGGCATATGTATAAAATTTTGATTCCATTTCCCAGCTTCATTCAGAATGTGTTGACAGCCTTGCACTTACAGTATGTACATATGACAGTCTGTCAAACTTGATTTGACTAGACTTACCTTTATTAGTGACTGCACATGTCTCTCTAAGTCGGTTTTTTGTTGTTCCATGCTGTGATGATCTTTAAGTTTCAGGTCTACTTCATACTTGTATTTTTCCAGTTCAACCATTTGCTCAGAAGCCAAAGCAAGCTCCTAAAGAATCCAACAAGAAAAATAAGTACTAGATATTAACATTACATGTATCAACATGCACAAACAAAAATCTCAATAAAGTGCAAATAGGCATGGGACAGTTGCCATACACAATACTGTCAGGGGAAATACCAGAATAAAAAGAACATTTTTACCATTACAACAAAGCTAATTAATTGTTCTAGAAAACAAATACAAGAATTTTAAAGAATAGATGATGGCATCTCTGGACATATAAAAATTGGAAACAGTCTTCTTTTTTTCCAGATCGATTCTGTGAGCATCATTGATACCACTGGAGAAAAACTGTAGACAACCGGCCTGAATGGAGGAAGCTCATGTATAGCATGTGCAAATGCTTTAATGAAAAGCACACTGATGGATATTATATGAGAGAAGAGAATGTAGAAGGGGAAAAACAGGAAGCGGATAGCATTTTTTCTTTTCTTTACAGAAAATGGACTCTGTTCTCTGACAATGGACTTTGTTTTGCCTGTTTCCAGAGTAGACATACATGTACTTCTGTGTATTGTATTTGAATTTCATTGCCCCTCTCCAAAAACCCCATGTTGGAGTGTATTTTGCTATCTATAGGAGAGGGCTAAGGGCTCAAATGTGTAAATCCAGAGTGGCTCATGGAGAGGTGTGTCATGGAAACACTCTGGATGCTGATTGTTCCTACCACTACTACCTATTCTTATGGTGAATATTCATGACACAATGAGAAAGGTATCGAGCGACCATGTTTTGTTTACCAAGCTGAAGTTTCTTCTGATGCCAAATTTAAACTTAATTACAGCAGATATATATAAGTACTGGATACCGCTATATTCAACAAACTGTGCATATAATTTTTTTTTCCCAGACCTGTTCATGGTGATGTTGTTCTTCTAGCCGTCCCTTTATTTCAACTTCAAGCTTTGCTTTAAGCTCAGCCACTTCATCTGCTTTGATCTGAAGTGCAAGCTCGAGGCTATCGACTTGTTTGACAAGCCTTCTTTTCTCCTGTAAAATAAGCAATAAAACATGCCCTATTTGTTAGCACATTGTTCTTTACAACTACAATGTATGGCTGCCAAAGAGGAATTAAAACTGCATCTAGTTTCTAATGGCAAGCTGTGGCTGTGGCTGTGTGTACATGTGGTGTGTGCTACTAATGGTCCATAGAGTAGACAAGCTTACAGTTGAGTCCCAAAGGTTTATATCTGATTACTCACAACAATATTTTGCTCCCTTAGCAAAAGAAGTCAGAAGAAATTTAGCCTAGACTTTTTGAACTTCCCTATTTCTCAGGTCTTTCCATTATGTGGCTTGATAAGTAGGGATTCCACTGTGTTCTAGTTTGTTCTGGAGTTTAAATTTTTTAACCGTATTGTTTATCTAGGTAGCCTGGTTATCTGATGCTTCACAAGATCCAATAGCTTAAAAAGCCAATGCAGTATGATTGTTAATCTCAAGAATCAAAGTAACTACTTTACCTTTATTGAGTTAGCCAAGCTGGTGAGGCATCACACAGTAACGTACAGTGCCTCACGCTAATGTACAGAGTATCACACTAACTTACAATGCCTTGTGCTACATTGTAACTACATGTAACAGTGTGATGCCTCATCTTAATCTAATACAATGGGACTGACCTCTTGACATGTGTCAAGCTCTTTTCTCAACAAAGGCTCCACTTTTTTAAGATTTTCTATTTCCTCTTCAGCTTGAAGTAATCTAAGCCAGAACAGTAATAAAATGAAGAAACATTACATCAATAGCAATATAAATGGGGACCTGGGAGATCCAACAGTATTTTCTCAGCATTATTAATGTTGGCCCTCTCTAAATTAATCACAAGAAAACTAAATGAGACTCCCCACCTTAACAGCTAATTTAAAGTACATGGGAGAGAAAACAATATTAAATGATTATGATACTTACTTTCTGTTAAGTGCTTCTAAAGATTCCTCATTTTCTCTTTCTAATTTGTTCTGAGAAAGAAAATTGACCAAATACAATCTATGTTTTAAGACACGATCATCATAGCCCATGAGATGTAAGATCTAAGTCTTGAATAGTCTGTTTTTGAAACAATGAGTCTACATTTTTCAACTTTGTCTTTGTCTTTGTCTCAATCTTAATCCATACTTGTGTAAGTTTTGGTTTATTATTACCAGGAAGGAAATAAAACCAATTTTCATTAGTTGAAACCATTAAACTTGAAATATTGGCAGAGTAACAGTCTTATATGCATTGGGTAAAATCACATCTTCCTGTATAAAATGAACAAAGATGATTTTTGATCTTTATAAAAGACACTTAAATTTCACAAAATTGCTCTAAACTTGAGAAATGTTTACCCAAATGCAATAATATTATATTTCAATCTTTTCCAATTTTGCCCATATCTGCCCCCTTTTTGGGGCACATATGGGCACATTTTTGGTGTTTTTTGCGGCCTTATGCTCCACTCACGGGAGCAGAGTGGATGAGCAAGTGCTTGGTGTTTTTCCTCCTTAGTAAACAACAATGGTCTTTCTTTACTTGGAAAGTCATTTTTTAATCAGAAAAGTGTGCAAGTTACTTGAGAACCCACGTATTTTGTAGAAAGAGGAGGACAAAAATGTAAATGTTTGAATTACTAGCTCGGGCCAAGTGGTGGTTCCTTCGGCAAATAATCATAACTTTCTGTAGCCTATCAGCTAAGCATGTAAGTGATAGATACGTGTACCTCTGTGGCAGAGAATCTAATGAGTATTACTGCCATCAAATGAGCAAAAACATACCAAGGCCAATTTATATTTAAAACTTTCTTCTTCTACTTGTTTTCCTGTTGTTACTTTTTGGCTTTCAATCTGTTCTTCTAGTGCATTTATCCTGAAAAAGAAACCACCAATTAAGACAGTCTAATATTAAAGACTTAGTGATAAAAAATAAATTACCATCAGGCCTGCAAATAATAGCCAGTCATCGGACAGATGTTGGTAAATTTCAGTTTTAACCCGCGAAAGCTTGCCCTGGTCGGACACTGTGACCATGCATGTCTCATATATAAAATGAAAAAATTATTTTCCTTGGGGTTTGTAGCCCAAACTAGGACTTGTTTCATTCTATTATTACATTATTTGATCCACAATATTATGCAAAAAGGTTGTCTCATGTTTAATTTGTACAGTGTGTTACATCCCGACTCTTGAACAGGCCAACACCATGTTTTCTTCAGTTTTTCACTGATTTTTTGCAACACTTTTACCACAGCAAAGCAGTTTTTATGATAAACTGCAGGCACCTGACTTCAATTAGTGAACAAACACAAATGCGGACTGTAGTTATGTATTTATCTCACTGCATCTTGAAGGTGATTGTCGAAAGGGTTATTTATCATCCTCAGTGCCTTTCAAACCATGTGTTATGTCAGAAATTGTAAACACTCCATTTCAAAGAATATAAATATTTTACATTATACTAAGCTCCAAAACACCCATAAAAATGAAACCAAGTGGATCTGATTCTCCTCAAAAAACAGACTCAATGATATTTTATGTAGTTTAAATTTTCACATCATCTGAGTTTGTCCAATTAAGATGTTGAAATGTGTCAAATAGACCAATCTCTTTAACATTCAATTTCTACATCCTTAATTTTTTTGTCCGACCAGACAGGCTTCTTGTCTAGTCAAAAATGGTCCTGGCCTGACAAATGACCTGCCTGTAGACAAAAATTATTTGCAGCCTTGACTATGAATATAATTTCTGGGAGACCCACTTAATATATGTATTATTCAGGATTCCTTATCCTGGAGCTGTCAAATTTACAGGTACTTTCTATAAACAATAACCTCCATTTCTCAAAAAATATGCTGTGATATTTGTCTGCAGACATTATCTGTTCCAACAAGCAAACTGTGAGCTTTGAGGAACAGATAATGTCTAAAGGACAAATATCTGAGCATATTTTCCAGCCAAATGAAGGCTATTGTGTTTATTATTGCTCAAATATTTTTTGCAAGACACCAGATCATTTGAAGATTGGGGAATATCACTTGGATATTCCCCAGTTTTAGCTGGGGTATATTCAGTCATGAGATGACTTAAGACCAATTGCATGCACGCAAAAATATTTGATGGATTTTAATGTGGGATATTCAGTTTCTGATGGTTAACAGATTTCAGCAGACACTTGGACTGTGTTCTACTGGAAATCTGTGAATCTCCTATTCCTGTCTTTTTCATGGACAGAACACCATTTTGGACACGCTGCTTTGAATGGAAAATGATTCTTGATTTCTACCTTAAAACATATAAAATTGACGATTGGGACTGCATTTCAGTGTCTAGAAGATATCAAAAGATTTAACAGAGATATTACTTTCTAAAAAAGCTGTTGGGCTACATCGGTGGACAAGTGAAAATCAACTTGAATTTGATAAAGGTAAATTAACTGCTGAAGTTACATGTAATTTCTGAAACTGAAATTTTAAGTGTTACCCTGCCTGTAACTCTATACTCTGACGAACCACCATCATTTAAAATGTCAGCTCCAAAACTTGCAATTAACGGTGGTTAAATTGCCTTTACCAACTTAAAGTTGTTAAAAAGCTAAGCTACTGATAGAAACATTTTAGACTATTTTTATGAGCAGTAAACAACTCAGCTACAACTCATTGACTATTCAGTTATACATGAAGAAAATTTGGGCTTGTAGACTAGTTGAAAAATAAAGTCTCCAGAATACTTTAGAAGTGTCTTCATAAAAGACTGATGCCTTCATGCTAGCGTAGACTATGTGCCAGATGAGTAGGCAATCGCTCAGATGTAATGATGTTGTGTTCAATCACAGGACTGACACAATAAGAAAATACATCCTGGCCATTTTGTCCTGTATAATAAAATTCATGACTAGTGAAAACTAAAATGGCTTAGTAAACACGTCCCTTACAATATTACACTATTAAAGAATATTCTAGAGAAACAATTTTTCAAAATCTATGCTTGATCTTTTTTTAAAACGAATAAAATGAATAATCATTAGAAACAGAAATACACAAGCACAAGCCTATGGAATCCCAATCAACTTTATACTTTCATCACTTAAGATTAGAAGATGTGATGGCAGAATGACCTCCAAAGAATTAACTAAACAAAATTATTTTTTGTAGTTCACAGGCAAATATCAGTCCACCTTTTTACATAAAACATGACTAAATTTGGTCAGTAATATTGCCTGTGTGTATATACCTATTATAGATTCACAAAACATTTTATGCCAATTTTGTAACCCACACAAATGTCCACTGGGTAGCTCCTATAGTTCTTTATCAAGCCAACTGCTCATATAACATGGCAGGATGCCGATCCTATCAAGTTATTGCACAATTTAAGACAACATCAATGTTTTTGGTGGCCAAAATATCAGGTTCTAACCAAGACTGAATAGAAAAATATTAATATCACACATGACAATTATTATTCCCTTATCACTGCTTTATTCACTCATTTATAATGAAAGAAATGAACCCTGACTTTACCTCTGAGAGTAAGAAATAGCAGGTAATAATAAAATAAAGTTTTTCTTACAAAATTATATATTCTGTTACATGTAGACTGAAGTCTGTAGAAGACAGATCTTTTACCATGAATGGATCTCATGCAAGAAAAAGGATAAAGGCAACTTAAAGCAACTGGGCTTGGAAAAACTGTGTTAGAACTTGAGATTTCAAAAATTAAGCCCCAGTTTATGTTGCTAATTCAACAATAAAAACAGCTACAAAAATATCATGAACAAGCACTACGAGTCAAAGGAATATGTGACATGAAGCAGTATTTTCACAGAGCTATCTTTCACCTGACAATGTGTCCCCTAACTCAAAACAATATTTTTTCAGTTTATTAAAGCATCCTGCTAATAATGAAAACAAGAACTGACTCACCTGCGAAAATTAGAACCAGAAACCAACTACAAATCACTCCCTGACCAAAAACGTGTCTTTCTGTATTGGTTTCAACCAATTTATTCAAAACAAGGAAATGAATTTCAGTCTGCCTAAATTATATGCAAATATGGGGCAGATGTCACTTGAAATGAAAGTTAATTATTCATGCAACAGCTAAAAGGCTTGACGTAGGTAAGGACAGGCAGTGGCCCATTTGAATAAACAAGCCTTCAGGATATTGTTCATGAAACCAGCAGGAAGTCTTCTAAAATCAAGAATAAAAACCTTCTTTCAAATGAAAGAAAAAAACACAAACAAAACCAAATCAGGCAAAGCTGAAACTAACTTAAGTAAGAAATTTTTATTATGTGGAAAACATTAAAGTGTGTATTCATTTGGTTAGCAAGAAACTAGAATATTCATTAATATAATCCATGCCTTGAAAATTCTTTTATGCAGGAAATTATTACCAAACCCATTCAATTCCAGCATCAAGGTTTGAATTCTCCTTACTAAGCTCTTTTACACGTAACAATGACGTACAGAAATTAGGTGCTTCATTGTACGTCTATGTACACAGTACGTGAAAACAATAATAACAATATCATTAAGATTGTTGTGAAGAAAAATTGCCAAAAAAGTCTCACATGTACAACAAAATGGCAGCTAAGAAATTCAACAACTTCCTAGCTTAGTTTCTTGCTGGTTAATGCAATACTATTCATGCACACAGAGTACAATAGATCAGAGAGAGAAAAAGGCCTTCTTATGAAGCTTAGAATTTAAAACAAGAACATTTCTTTTCTTTACTTGTTTGAATCTGGTTTGAACAGTGCAGAGAATTGTTTGCTTCTTTCTATTCGTGACCTGTCTGAACGCTTGACAGTGCTCTATTTGATAGTGCGATATTTTCATTGCTTTCAACCATTTAACCTGACACCAAGCATATTTTTGACAATCTAATACCTATCAAAAGATTATTTCTTTCTGGTAATTTTGTAAGCCTAGGACATAATGATTTTGATTAAAAAAAAAAAACAAAAAAAACTGCTGAACCTACCAAATATGAAGATGGGCCAAGGTTAGCAGTTACACTGAGAAATCAAAAAGGATATCTCAGTGGCTATATTTATCAATAATGTACGGTATGTGAATTGACTTTAAATGCCTTTTAACGAAGCCGACGTTATATCTTAATATAGCTGCTTGTGAATTTATTAACGGTTGAGTACATTCTACAGTCCACTTTTTGATATTAACCAATATTCCAAATTACCATCATATGCCATGCGTAGTAAACACTGCTTTGCAATACTTATTGCTGGTTGTGTATAGAAACTTGCAACCAAAATACTACAATTAAGCAATTAGACTTCTTGATGTTGCTGATGTGTTTTTAAAACTAATTTAATTTTAAGAGACCAATACATAAACACAAAAAATATTTCCTACACAAGTACCCTCACAAGCCAAGATTCCTTCAACATTTTTTTTTAGAAAATGACTTGCCTGAGTTCAGAGAAGCCAAAATTATTGACAAATAAAAAAAGTCATCTGGATGTAATACATTGGCATAAAACTAACTACTCTTCAGTCACAGTTAGCGAGTCTGCACTGTACAAGTTGTAACTAACATTAGGAGAAATCAGATGTCAAGCAGTCTGCCTACCTTGAACATAACAATTTGTTTTCTTCTCGTATTTTATATTGTTTATCTGTTTGCATCGCATGATCTTCCTGTAACAGCGATACTTGGGATGATAACCTCTTTAGCTAAAAAGTAAAGGGAACAAATTGAAATAAAATGGTGTGAAATTACAAGTATAAGTTGGCTACACTTGCCAACATGCTACATAAAAACTGAATAGGACACCAAAACCACAAGAAAACCTCAAACCTCTGTCAGAAGAAACATCGATGTTCCGGTTTCACTGTCTGATAGTGCTCTATCACCGATCAGATCATCAAAACTGTTATGTCGGCTGGGGTTCTCCGAGTGACATTTAAAAAGATGCATATTATGACTGTGGACAAACAGAGAGGCAATGAATACCCAGTTAGAAGCAAATTTTAACTAAGCAAGACATCAGTGACTTGAGAAATTATGGAGACAGACAATCGTCTTGACCCTAGATCTCTTTCAAATGACCACTGTTTGACTAAGAATCTTACTTTTAATACCTATAATGACATATCACAACAAATATTGTAAAACTTAAGATGCCTTACTGCAAAGACTCCATTCTAGGAACACCTTTAACAAATACAACACAAATTCCAAAAAAATATGTCACAGAGAATAAGGATTGAACACTTGCATTCTTTGGTGTCACATGACATCCATGAAGTGTCCAGTGTTAACTAATCTGCACTATTGACCTAAACGACCTTTAAATCTAAAAATATTGAAAATAGTCCCAAAACAAGCAAAATCCCTTTTATTAGGGGAGCTCACTGTCCTTCTTTCATTGTAACATACCTTTAAACATAGACACCAGAATCCCAGAAAAAATTTAAAAGACTTTTCAAGACTCTTTCTAACTAAACCTGTCGCAGTTATGTTGAGGAGCAGCATCAAAAACAAAGAATGGACAAAATGGAAAGAGATTTAGTGAGAGGGGGTCAAACCAACTATCCTGCCATCATTTGATTAAATAGTCTTTTTCAGTTAAACATTTATTACAAAATAACATTTTTATAAGAAACAAAATTGTTTGGTTCCAGAAAATATCCATACCTCCCTCAGGGAAGGGAAGTTTCACCCCTCTGGAAATTCTGATTGAGCTTCATACATTTCTTTACCTTTTTTGATGCTACAGAACCTCCCACCCCCTAGGAAATTCCAATCCCTTCTGTGGGAGGAGTACGGATATTTTCTGGAGCTGAGCATTCTAATTTAATCAACTCTATAAAAAGAAAAACATCTCCATACTAAACCATTCACCTTGAAATGGCAGCTGCTGCAGCTGAAGTTCTTCTAGAACCAGAGCTGAAAAAATTATCAAAAATGAGACTCAATTTAAAGAATAAAAAATACTCTAACCGTATAACCCAGATAAATCAAACATTTTTCAGTACCCCATTTTCTGTTGCCTAGGGGTTTTATGAAGGGTAAAGCTGGGAGGCAACTGCTTTTCACAGGGAGGCAAAATGTTTTGAACTGAATTTCTTTCGAAAAAAAGAATTCTCCTGAAACCAGGTAAACAATATCATTCTTGAGGCTAGTCAATTTGCCTGGTGCCTGGTCGTTAAATGAAATAACTGGATAATTGGGACCACCATTTGTAGGTTTACTTACTATTTTATGATATATTTAAATCATCAGGCCCAGGTTGTTCAAAAAGTGGATAATGCTATCCACAGGATAAATCACTATCCAGCCTGGCTTGCTTTGTTAACAAACACTTATCCGCTGGATAGTGATAATCTGGTAGATAACGTTATCTGGCCTTCAAACCACTGGGGCCTGAAATATGAAGAGTACTTCAAAAAAATAGATTAATGACAAGATTTTAGCTAATCTTGCATGCATTTTTTACTTTTATTTACCATTAGGTTTTAAATAATTTTACATAAGTTTTTAATAGATTTTCAATTACTGTATATTTAAGAAGGCCATAAGTTTATTAGTTACCCTCTGTAAATAAAGATCCATTGATTGATCATTATCAAACTCACCCTCTATAAAGACGATTCTCAAACTGTCGTTCCCTCCTTAAGGTTGGACTATCTTCAAATGCCGTATCCTCACTAAAGCTCTCTCCATAACCTTCAAATCCTTCCTCTGACTGGTATTCACTTGTGTCTGAGTGTGAACATCTATCGCTGTACATGTCGACATTCATGGCTGGTAAAGTGGCCCGATGTTTCAACCGTGGCCCAGTAGGAGGTGGAAATGTAGAATATTGTTTTTGATTACGACTGAAATTTGAGGTTTGTAACTCGTCTGGAAAATTGTCGTCATCATCACCAATATATTCATTTGTTGACGTTGTGCTGTAAGTGCTGTCCCGCTAAAATAGAACAGTAAATAGTACAGTAGTTTTAGTTTCGAAGTGGGGGGCATTTTCAGTGTCTAATAGTTAGTGCCCTAGACTCTGGGTTGAGCAATCCAGAGTTGAGCACTTATCAGGGTCATTTTAAACATACTGTGTGCTTGATCAAGAAAGTGTTCCTCTCCACTTTTAAGGCCTGGTTAGAGAGCCATAATCAAATCTGCTGTTATCCCAGAATATAGAAAATTTTGATTGCCCTTTTTTAAGTTTAGGGTTTTCTGTTTCTCAGTTCTTGCTGAAGTTAAGCTACACAGAACAATAACAGTAAAAGAAGGCTTTAATGCAAGAATAGTTACAACATTGATAACTTGGATTCCTAGAAAAGTGTTTACGAGCCAGCTTTTGAATAACTGGGTGCAGGTGTATAAGTGGTCCAAACAAATAAAAATAAATAAAAACTTCACAAACTGTTATTTTTCCTCAAGGTTTAATCAAATGAGTTCTGAAAAGGTTACACGTATCGTTGAAGTGATTCTAGAACATGAAAAATATACAACCATTGTGATTATAATTTGGTTACGTAAGATTAATGGTATGTGCGTGTGGCGTAAAATGAGCAGATTTTAAATGGATCAGGAAATGTTGATTGTTCCTTAGTGCAAGTGAGCAATATGATGCTACAAGAAAATTGGCACATGTACACGTAATATGTCAAGGCAAGATCAAAGTAATTCCAACAATC